CAACTGTTGTGCCCCCAGCGTCAGGCCGGGCTGGCATCCTCTCCCAAGCGTCTATTTGTGGGGTCTTAGAATTCAGAGTGAATCCCCAAAATTTTTTCGGAGGGGATAGCTAGTTGAAGCGGCCTCCCAGGTCCTCCCGATGCCAGCTTCAGGTCCTTGACCTCGCAGGAGCAAGATAAATCCCACCCCAACCCGAGATAACCGCAGCCCAACCCTCAACTGACAGATCTGTGGTCCACTCGCACAGGTGCCTCTTTGGCCACGACCCCAGCAGGCCCAAGGCTCGGTCACACTCAACGAGTTAGACTACCTCTACACGTGTCGGGTGTTGGAGGGGAGGGGGCTCTGGGCACGGATTTATCGGAACCATGGACCAGAGCTCCGGATTCAAGCAGAAGTCCCGCTCCCAGGCTTGGCCCAGGTTGGCTGCGGAGCTCTGGCTGCCCCGTCCTCTGGGAGGTCCCAGGGATGAATCGCGGCTAGCGAAGGCGCATCCCTGACCGGATCTCCCTTGAGAAGTGGGATCTTCCTGTGGAAAAGTGTAGAGCCCCAGCGCGGGCTGGAGAGGGGAGTGCTATTCACTCGACCCACCGGGGTTTGCGAGGATTGTAAATGTCACAACTTCTGCAGATACCCGAGGTTTCGAAATCCTTGCAGGTATTGGCAAAGTGGCTCTTTCTGGGGCATCTTTCTTTTTTCTGTCTTGCTGGAGCTGAACAAGAAGGAGCCTGGGGCCGTGGTAGCCTGGGGATCTCAGCCGTGGTCTCCCAGCTCCCTTCGTTCCATTGCCGGTCGCCAGGTGCCCTAGGGTGGGATCCTTCCTGGGGCCACTTCGTGCACCGATTTCCGCCTCTCTCAGGCTCGGATTGCCCTCTGCAGTCCTGCGCCCCGTTATTCCAGCGATAATTTCACTGACAAACAACTCAAAAGTCACTCCGCGAACACGCACTCTCGCAAGTTCCCTACTCTAGGCTCTTTGGAGAGGCATGTGCGAGTGACTCGCAGTGGAACGTGGATGGAGACGCAGGGGAAAGCACGAACTTGGGCCAATTTTTCCAGGGCGGGGCCGCAGGTACAGGTGTCCCGCGCGCTGACTAGAGCCCTTTTGTGGTCAGTTCAGCCCAGCAGAGCTTTGCTATAGTCATGGAGCCTGCCCTAGACGAGGGCCCAAATTCGGGGTGCCTGGGCGGGCCACTGGTCCCGGTTATTTCTTTCACACAGCATCTATCTTCCGCCCCTGTTTCCTCCCGGTAAAGCTGGGGACGCACAGGGGCCCTGGGAGAGGTACGGGAGGAGCACTGCTTGGGCGCACCGGCAGCGGATGGGAGGAGAAGATCGGAGCCGCCGCCTCTGATAGGAACCGAGAAACTGCAGCCCACGCAGTTTTGTAATCGGGGTGAGATGAACAGCCACTCCCAACTTCCCAGCCCCTTTCTCTGGGTAAACTTATGGGAGCACTTTTCCCCGGTTTTTGTGGAGGGCGGCAGTGGAAGCTGGGACCACATCTGTTTGGCACAAAAAGAAATCTGCCTCCAATCAGGCTGGCAACCTAGCGCCTGTCACTGACGTGTGAAGGGCCGGGGTATAGCTTCAGATCGGACGCCTGGGGAAGGGATGCTTGGCAGCAGGGATTAGAGTGAGTGAGGAGGTTCTGGGCTGGGCAAGTTCCAGTCTCACTTTTTCTTTCTGCAAGTGACTTTGTTCAGCCACCTGCTGGAGAATGTCCCTCTTCAAGTTTCCCTGCATCGAGCTTCCTCTGTCTTTTATGCGTAAAGGCAATGTTCAGTCTGTGAGGAATGAATAATGGATGCATTCCTAAATTGAATCAAGAATGACTTCACTCTTGGAAACTTTTGGGGAAGTTGGGAAGCAATGAGGAAAGAATTTTATAACAAGGATGGTGCAACCTGCTAGTCCAGTGTCTGGGAAATGCAGTCAGACCTAAGAAGCTGCCTGCTAATTCAGTCACCAGCCAAGCAGCCCTGCCACTCCCACAAGGTCCTACAAGGATGGGTCAGTGGCCCTGATCCCTTCCCAGTCAATCAAGGAAACCCAAATGATATGCTGCAGTTCCCAAATCACCTTCTTACCTGGCATTCTGTCCTATTCTCTCTTCCAGTCTCCTAGGCTAATGAAAGTTTTACAACTCAGAAAATAGTGGCTGGGGTGAATTTTCCCCAGTCTCTGTTCTCCTTCTCCACTTTGGAGGCTGGGAGAGAGTTCCTTAGCCTTTGGCTTCCTCTTAGCCCAGATCCCGGTTAGCTGGAAACTCACAAATACTTGAATAGAACACTAAAGGTGTCCTAGTTTGGAAACCAGAACTTCCTTGTGAAAAAGAGTGTGGCCTTTCTTCCTCCCAGCCCTCGATTTAATCATTGATCCCAGAGAAGGAAAGAAGGCCGCCACTAAAGGCCAGCTGTGAGAGCTTGCCTTCAGCACTCAAAATGAGCAATTGGGAGAGAGCAATTTTCCTGATGGATGAAACGTCTCCCTCCCCTCTGCCTTCTACATTAGAAACTCCAGGAAAAGGCTGAGGGGTTTCCTTGTTTTCGTTTCAAATAAATCCTCAACAGGGTCTTTCCTTACCCAAACAAATGAATCACCCATAGGAAATAGACAATTATTTCCCCATTTGTCTGCCCCAACCCAGTGGAAGCACATACCCTCCATGGTAGATTCACATCTTGGGTCCTTTTCCCTGGCAGAAAGGGGGTCAGGAGGCAATGAGAGTATACAATGGGATAAAAGAGAGGGAGTTGGATGGGAGGAGGGACCCAGGGATGCCACCCCCACACCTGCACTGGGCAAGCCTTAGTACCCAGGAAGCTGAGAGCAAACACTTTCCAGATGTAAACTTCTTGTTGCATCCCGGAAAGAGTCCTTGGTGTCCAAGGCTCACGGAGGAGCTTTGGCCTCAACTGACAGTTGGCAGGTGTCAGTCAGAAAGAGCTTCTGGAGGTGGCACATTTTCATCAGGGCTCTGTGCTCTTTCTTGGCAAGCAGGCACCTGTGCAACTGCAATTGGTGTCACCGGAGCTCGTTTCTCCCCATCTTTGAACAAATGATATTCTCCCTCGGAATGCCTCTTGTTTAGACAAAATATTTCAAAGTGTTGAGGGGTGAAGAGGGACAATTCACTGAGTGAAATAAGCCCCGTGCTAGCCAGCATGTGTGTAGAAGATATTGAATGTTCCCTGATGCATCTGACTAGAAATTTCCTAAGAAAGAATTCTTGATATCAATCTGCAAGGTCCTGGGACATGAGCTACCTTTGCCTTCAGCTCAGAGCTCACCTTAAAAAGCAAAGTGGCTCTGCCTCTCTTCCAAGGGCAGGCTTGCCGCTGAGGAGGCAGAAGGGGTATTTGGTTATCTTCCACAACAACCCTTGGTTGATGTGGAAAACACACACTGGATTTAAACAAGGGGAGGAGAGACTAAAAGGTTGGTTTAACGTGAAAAGAAGTTAACTTACTGCTTCACCCTTGTTTGTTGGCAACACAGCGAGCACCCCCTCCCTCTCTCTTCCTGCGACTTGGTTTCCAGATTCCTTGTTTTGATTTCAGTTGCTGAATTTATGAGGTTCTGATAACTGCAAAGAAACAAAGTACTCAAAGAGTATAAAACCAGAATGTGAACTGTGGCCCATTTGGGAGGATATTTGGGTGACATAATTAATGCCGGTTTATCCATCTGCTTTATCTGTACCAGGTCAGAGAAACATCTTTGCATCTGCCCATCCTTCCAAATTCCCTGGATCACATCGAGGTCTACCTGCTTAGGCCCATATGATTTGTATCCCACTGCCACCCCCTTTTCCTTTTAAGATGTTAGGCAAAGGCAAAACCAGGATTTAATGGTTCTTTTTTATTTGAAATCTCATCCAGAAACACTGGCTGTTAATAAATATATCATAGTTATCAAGAATATATAAAAAATAAAGACAGGTATTGTTTCTGAGGCCCTAACAAAATATTTCGAGCAGATGTTCAGGAAAATAAAAATGGCACCCCTCCCCCAAAGCATGATACATTTTTCAAAGCTGATACTAGAGAGAGCTGACCCCACATGCAGAGTAACTGAGCAAGGGGCAGTGGGGAAGCTACTGCAGGGAGCCCAAGCCTTTGCAGTCTTGGGGTTGGGGTGGGGTGTACCCTGGAAGAGCCCAGGGAGATTCGGAATGTGTATTGGAAAGGGCTAGGGCTAGGGGAAGAAGCGCGTGTGGGTGAGTGTGGGTGTCTACACTCTGCCCCCTTGCCATTTCATAAACCACAGACAGATACATGGCATATGTCAGAGAATTCACTGATTAATCCTTGTTACAAGGAACATGGCACCACGGCCTGCACAACATGTTCAGACAAGATTCATGGAGAAGCCGGCATGCATTCTTTTGATCTACATTGTGTCTTAAGGAAAACCCATGGAGTAAGTGTAGTGCCCTGGACTCAAGGTGAGATTCAAACCTTGGTTTTTTCTCTCTCTCTTTCTCTCTCTCTCTCTCTCTCTCACTCTTTCTCTCTCTTTCCAAACAGCCAGGGCGAGGGCAGAGACAATCTTCCCAGTGTCCAGCTCCACAAAGTATTTACATTTGTTTGGCACAAAAGAATGGGTCCTCCTTTTCCAAGGTGAGAACACAGAGGCAGAATAAACCAATCCACAAGTTCCTCAGCAAGTTTCAACTTGCACCGCACGGATCGCCTCGCCTCTGTGCACAGCGAGCGCAGTTGAACAAGAGCATATATGGCAGTGGGAACACGGGCGCGTTAAGGGGCAAGCAGCATGCACGCAAAACACACACAACGTCGGATTCCAGCACCCAGCGCCATCCTCTAGAAACTGCATTTTGTCCTCTCCCCCTTCCTCTCCCGGGGGTCTGCCGGGTCTGAAATTCCCTCTGACTGCCTGGTCCGAGTGCCCAGCCTCCCTTTTCTCCCGGCCCGGCCCCTGGGCCCCTCCCCGCCGCTCCTCCCTGCTCCTCGGCAGCCGGGCCGGCCCGCGGCTCACTTGAGCAAGTCCTTGGACTCAGCCGACAGCCGGGCCATGTTGGCGGTGGACAGAGCGGACAGGTGCGGTGGTGGTGGCATCTGGCAGATGGTGCAGGGACAGGGGAGGCCGGCCCAGTGTTGGAAACCGCTGCCCAGCTGCAGCGCGGGCGGCGTGGAGGGTGCCTTGAGCAGGGAGTGTGGAGGCCGAATGGTGCCGATGGCGGGCAGCGAGGCAGCGGACAGCGGCGAGGATGCATTGCCAGATGAGAGCGCGCCGCCCAAGATGGGATGCACAGGGTGCACGGCGTTGGCCGTGTGCGCTGGGTGGCCAGCAGAATGGCCTACGGTCCCGCAGTGGAAGGCCGAGTGGTGGCCCCCATAGATCTCGCCCACCAACCTCTTCATCTCCTCCAAGGAGCTGGTGAGCATGAGGATGTAGTTTCTGGCTAACAGAAGAGTGGCGATCTTAGAGAGCTTGCGCACCGAGGGCCCGTGTGCGTAGGGCATGACCTCGCGCAGCCCGTCCATGGCGAGGTTCAGGTCATGCATCCGCTTGCGCTCCCGACCGTTGATCTTCAACCGCAACTGCTGGAGATCCTGTTCCGACAGCTGCTTTTTGATCTTATATTTGCTGCTCTCTCCTGCGGCCTTGGCGCCGGCGCGCGCTAGGCTCTCCCCCGGCATCTTCTGCACCAGGTCGCCCTGCGTGGACGAGACCGAGTTGAGCCGGCTTTCCTGGTGGTGATGGTGGCGGTGGTGATGGTCCCTCAGGTACATCTCGTCCATATCCGGAGACGAAGCTCTGCTGGAGACAGAGCTCGAATCAGAATTCATTTTATTGCAGGGGATGGGGCCCTACCGTTGTCGGAAGGGGTGTGGGGGAGGGGGGGACAACGTGGGGAATTAAAGAAAATCTTGAATTAAAAAAATTTAAAAATAACAGCAGACCCCAGCCAGCAGCCCAATTCTTAGCTGCAAGACACGAAAAGAAAAGCGGAGGCAATGCCGTTCCCCGCCTCTTTCCCTCCCCACGCCAGTCTCTTTGCTCCGGCGGTTTCCTGGACAGCTAGTTGGTGTGAGCGTTAACTAACCTCACTGCTGAAAAAGAGGGGCTTTTATAGAGCCGCGGCGGAGAAGAGAGACAAAAGGAGCCCTCCTATCTATCCTGGGCTGGTTAGGATGACGTGCCATCCTTCAGGGCGGTGCGCTCTGCAGTCCTACTTCGCAGAGATTCCTATTCATATTCATGGTGGCGGCGCGCTGGGACACCTCTGCTCTCACCGCTAGGAGCCCTCAGGCACAAAACCTTCTGATTGACACTCACCGCTCCAGCTCTCTCCTCCCCTCCCTCCCCACATTTTAAACTTTCTTCCATTCTATCCCCCCTTCCCTGTTTCCCCTATCCGAATCGCCCACAGGGAACCCGAGGAAGTGACTGTGTCTCCTTCCTTTCCTAGTTGATTCCAAGTGGAGGAAAAGGAAGGCCTCAGTGCAAAAAGAGATGCGGATGAAGGGCAGGTTGAACCAGCGGGGGCTGCTCCGAGGTTCGCCGTCTGGGGTTTTCCTGCACCTCTTTTGGACAATGTTAACTTTGTTTAATCAGCTTTCCAGGTGCAAATTCTATGAGTCGCCCGCATTTGGTGGTTGATGTTGCTCGGGACACTTCTTTGAGTGATCGCTCATTATCTATGCTTAATCTTTCACTCTATTATAAAAAAGTAGCTCATTGAAAAGAAATTCAGTTTTTCTCTAACCTTAGAAATGAAGGGGAAGATCCTAATGTGAAAAAAGAAAGAAAGGAAAAACCTTGGGAAGGAGAGATGGAGACGGAGTCGAAAGGGTCGGAGAGTGAGTCGGGCATCGGAAAGGTTGTCCCGCAGAGAAGGTTAGCCCGGGGCGCTGGGCGAAGGTGGCGGCGCAATCCTGGCTCCCAGCTTGGCTATGCTGCCTAGGGCTGGAGTGCCTGGAGCAGTCGCCGGCTGGCACCCGTCGGTTCACCGGGCTGCGGCCGCCCTAAACAGGGGGCCAGGGAAAGATGGAGCTCAAGGTTAAATAATAAAATGTGTGTGTGTGTGTGTGTGTGTGTGTGTGTGTGTGTGTGTGTGTGTAAACGCGAGGGGTGGCTGGACCAGGCAAGGTCACGGAGAGCCCCGTTTGCCTTCACGAGTGCGGGCGCTGCACTCCATCTCAGACCCAGAACAGGCCTGGAACTGTGAGTCCGACGAGCAAGAGCGGAGCTGCGCTCAGGCTGTTCCTCTCACTGGCGGTGTTTGGGGCGGGAAGTGAACGAGCTAGCCTGAGGGCGGGACCTGGCAGAGCATCCCGGTCTCCAGGCTTCGGGGTGGAGGGGTGGAAGAACCTTACACCGACGCTGGGTTAGGGCAGTGTCTGGATGGAAAGCGCAAAAACCCAATGGATCCCGGAATCAAGTCAGGTCCTCTGCGCATCGCGGAGTTACGGCAAGCGCTCGCCAAAGTGGGCCCCACTTCGCATCCACGCAAATCCAGCCGCCTTGGAAGATTGTGTGCCCGGGTCCAGAGCTGGCGCGCTCGGCAAGGCCTGGCTTTGTGTAGTTGCACAGTCTCGCCGGCGAAGCAACCCTGGCAGCACCCAGTCGCCTCGGAAAAACAGGTGCTTTGTTTCACATTGAAATATACTTGTGCATAAAAGCTAGAAAACGGCCAGCAGTCCCTCGCCAAGGCCAGGACGCTCATGGTCTTGAAGACTAGGCACAGTTCTCTTCCGAAGCCTCCGCTGTGGTGAAACAAGTTCCCTGAGACGAAGACTCCAAGAGACTCTACAGGGTGTGGAGAGAGTGATGTCCAAATGCGTGGTCATATCCACATAGAAGGAATTGTCCTTAGTCACCAGCCTCGCCCATCATTCTATTTGTTTTTGTTTTTGTTTAAGCTAAAATAGTGACAACCAATGAATCGCCCATGAAGAAAGTGCCCTAGCTTGTCTGCGGCGCTTAGTGATGGGAGGGCAGCTAGGCGGAGCGGGGGACTCCCTCCCCACCACTGCTGTCTGCGGTTACCCGCAGACCAAGCCTGGGGAGAGCTGTACAAGGGCACCCCGCCCCGACCCAGGGGGCACAGGCAGCTGCTCCATATTGCTCCCCCACCCACTCTTAACTCTTAGGTGTCCGTTTCTGTCCTTCCCTAGCCCAGACGGAAAGCATTGCTAGAGCAGAGGGGTCTGTTTCAAGAGCTCAAACTCTCAGCACACGGTGTGAAATAAAGCTTAGTGCCGCTGCAAGTCAGCAGAGAAGGCAGCAAAAGAGAAAAAGAGGGTGAGGGAATAAAAACGCAAAACGCCGGCTGGTCTGGAAAGACAGAGGCCAGGGTTTTGCGGGGGACGGGGGGCAGTCAGAAGCCCCTCTCCTTCAGCGTGGCCTTTCCCCCCAAAGAGGGGTCTAGGGCACTCTGCTCTAGGCTCTAATCCGGGCTGCATTAAGGCCAGGAAGCGGCCCTGGGCTCTCTGTAGTAAAGGCCCGGGTTTCTAGGAAGGGTTTTTCCGCAGCGGTAACCCACAGGTGTCTGACTTGGCAGCTTCTCCTTGGCCAGGCCAGTACACACTTGGTCGCAGTTCCGCTTGCGGTGCGCCCTGTGCTCCCAGGTCACCCTCTCCTCTCCTTTCCGGAAGCACCACGGTGGGAATGCAGGTTGGTTCAAGTCCTAGGGTCCCTATGGGAATACTTTCAAGGAGGACTATAAGAAGTTCCTGGCCCTCCTGGGAGTAGGAAGCGGATCATTTCCCTATTCCCCAAGGATTCAAGGGATTAACTACAAGCGGCTGAATAAATCTGACGCGACTTTGCTCGCCATAAAATGGGTCGTTTTTCGCCAGGGCCCAACAGGGCGGAGGCACCGCAACCGCCACCCCTTCCCGCTCCCGCACTTGGCTTGGCAGGTCTGGGAGTCCGAGGGTTCACCGTAGGGACACAGGCTCTACCCGTTCTGGTTAAGCAGAGAAGGAGCGGCGGCGGCGGTGGTGGGGAGCTCAGGACCGCAAACTTTTGATTTCTGTTTCTGCCATCAGCCACCTGCGCGCGAGTGGTAGGGGAAAATGAAGGAGCAGCTAGTTGGGGCCAAGGTTGCAACAGCCTAAAGGGGCTTCGGTGAGGGACACGCACTGACCTTGGACCTGGCCGGGTGCACATAGAAAGCTCAATACAGGCGCGGCACTGGAGCTGGAGACCCAGCCTCTGCACAGCGCTCCTGCCGGCCACACCCTTCACCTTCGCAGCTGCCGAAGGCTGCGTTGCAGAGGCGGGGCGGTGAAGGTGTCGTTCTCTGGCAACAGGTACGTCCCCTAGCAGGCGAGTAGCCTCCCGCCAAGCCTCTCCTGGGCCTAGGAGTTTCTCCGTCTTGGCGCGCCGCAGAAAAGCTCCGGGTTATACCCAGGCACTAGGTCGCGAGAGGCGTCCAACGAGCACCGTGCGCCCCGGGACGCACGGCCTGTATTCGGCTACCCCAGGTTCAGTGGATGGAGCTCCCCAGCACGATTTGCCCCAGTGCTGTCAGCTCTTCCCGACACAGTTCTCTGCCCCGCAGTCGCCCTGGACAGTCTCTTACCCGCTGCCCAGTGCGCGCGGTTCGGCGTCCCACGCCCACCGTTCCATGGCTCCAACTACCCAGCTTCTCTCCTGGAGCAACCGGCTCTGCCTGAAGCTGCGGCGATTTTGGTTAGGAGCAATCCCCACCCCCTCGCCCCAATTCCAACCTCCGCCCCAGTCCAGCAGCAAATGTCTGTACAGCTGACTTGCAGAGAGACTTCACAGTGTCGAGCAGGTCAATCCGTTATGTCCAGGGGCGTCTGTTCGCCCAACCGCGAACTTGATTGCCAGAAACTTTGGCCAAGATCGAAAAACCGTGTTATGAGTTCACATTTCATTTCTAAATCTGTCTGTCCTGTTCCCTGACAACCAAAGAACAGCCTAAAAGCTACTTTAGAGCACTGAGAAAGTTCGCACACAGTACGTTTCCTTAACTGAGCAAAAATAACCTCTCTACAAAAGACAAAAAGCCTCATGACAATAGCAGGTGCTGGATCGCCGGGTTTGCTAGGCTGAGCCGAGAAGTCACTGCAACAAAAACAAGCAATTTTAAAGAAGTTACATGTCAACATAAATTGCAGTCTGGCAGGCACAGGTTGCGCCTGCTGAGTGGCCGAGGTTACCCAGCCCAGTCGGGACATCCTGGAGCTGCCGAAATTAAGCTCCCAGCCATCCTAGGGGATGCAACTGGGCAGACTGACTCCGAAAAAGCTCGGGTGCCCGAGTTCTTCCATATTTTACACATCTCGGAAACTTATTATTTATAATCCAATTTTCATACATGGGAAATAGTAGGCTGCTGAAGAACAGCACAGTGTTATAAGACGACACTAACTGCTTTTTGCAACGTTGGATGGGAGATTGGAGGATGCTAGGAAGTCCGGGAGTAGCGCGCAATGATGAGGTGCTGATAACGGGATAATGCGGACAAGTACCTACACTGGCAGAACTACAGAGTCTGGCTGTAGTGGTGTGCTAGCGGCATCGCCAGTCAGGACTTCCAGATTCCTCACCATTATTTAGAGTCGCACTAAAGTCAAAAGAGATGGGAACGTCTGGGCTTCATCTGGAGGATTTTTGCTCAATTAGTGAACATACCTTCGGACTCTTTTTCTCTCCGTTCTGATAATAACATCTGCCCAACTGCCAAAACGCTCAGCTGAGTATTCCTCTAGTTAAAAAGCCTTTACATTGAGAAGCTTTCCCCCCTCAATATTGGAGCGTGTAGGTTGATTGCAATATCACGGGTGATCAATCACGGAGGTTGATGAATGAT